CAGCAATCCTGAATTTCAAAAAACAGCGAAGGAGCTCAAGGAAAAGGCAGAGGAGTTGAAAGGTGTAAAAGAGGATCTGAAAGTTAGGTAATTTACATTTGTAATCGCTATTACTTAGACATTAATACACTGCATTTCAATGAAAGCTTATGAATGTAATGGAAAATGCAGAACAAAAGAAAAGACTGAGCAGTTGTATAAGCAAGTTGATGGGGTCTGGACTGAGGCTGAATCTGTGGCAAAAAAGGTATGGTCTTGCCCAAGAGCCTGGAATTGATTCCTTTAAGGATTTTTGCAAGGCAATGTTGATTAAAAAAGAAAAGTGCAAATATTTTCTAGGCTTGGTTGTTTCTTCCTTGCCAGATTTGCATCTTTGMGTTGGGTTGTCTGTGTTAAGAATGTGCTTTTTGTTGTTCTCTTGCTGAAATCATTTGTTTGTATGAAGTATTTGGTAACTGACTGCTATACTGATGGAGATTATTTCAGTGTAATGTAACTCACTTTTTTATATGTATGAGGACTTGACTTTGTACATTGTAGAAGGCTTATAGAATCGTTCCTTACCAAACAGCTTTGGTGGTGCAGGTCTCTTCAAGTGTGAAAGACAAGTTCTCAGCAGCCACAGACGAGGTTTTACTGGAATCCCTTTGTTTTTAGTCCTTTCAATGGTCAATTATGGCATTTTTTTTTAACTATTGTTATGCATTTTTGTATGCAGGTCAAAGAGTCATTCAAGCTCGGTAAAGAGGAGAATGGAGAGTCAGCGAGTTCATCAGGCACAGGAGCCTCTGAAGGAGAAAAACAGCAGGAGCAGCAATCAGGCACTACTGAGGAGCAACATACATTATTTGGACAATTCAAGTCAAGCTTTTCTTCGCCAAAGGTAACCGAGGCGTTTCACAAGCTGAAGGGTGTCAAGCCCCTTGACTTTGCAAGGAAGGGACTTGACATTGTGAAGGATGAATTGCGAGGAAGCTCGTCTAAAAAGAAGCACCTGGAATACACGCCTCCCCCGCCATTTACAGGTGAGAGAAGTACAAGAACAGAGGTGGTGATTACGCAACCAAAACAGTCTAAGTGGCAAAAAAAATGGGAATCTCTTAGAGAAAAGGTAAGTGACCCTCTTTGTCTTGTCCGCTTATGCCATGTTTTTAAGGCTCGTGTTGAGTGTGTTTCTGTAACTTTGGTTTAGATGCAAGGTTATCCTGTATTTAAACGTATAAGCGGGATGAGTGAGCCTGTTGTCAACAAGGGCCAAGAGGTAACAACTTCTCTTTACTCATTTTGTTCAAAAATCTGATCTTGCAATAATAATCTCGTTGCTGACACTGCTTTGTACTTGTAAATTGGCAATGCATTTGAAACTTGTAGATTGCAGAAGATGTGATCGAAAGATGGGAAACCAGCGATAATCCGATTGTTCACAAGATTCAGGAGTATGCTCTAATTGCTCCCTTATTATCTTCCTTTTAAAAAAACCAACTTACTTACTCAAACTGATATATATATGTGCACCCTTTTGTTTTTGCAGCATGAATGAGACAATGTTTCAGGAAACAGGTTCTGCATCAACTTACAAAGAGATACGCAGTCGAGACCCGTAAGTTATAGAGGCTAATTGGTTGGTTTGATGATGTGACCCTTGGTAATCATACTTTTATCTCTTTCATGGCCAGATCGTTCTCCTTGCCGGACTTTGCTGCAGAAGTTCAGGAAGCCATCAGACCAGTCTTGAATGCAATTAATAAGGTGAACCTCGGGTTTTGAAATGGATCATCTCTACCCATCTTTGTTTACGTTGCGTCTAATTAATTCCCGTCTCGGTGTAGGGAGATATTGAGATCTTGAAGAAGTATTGCAGCAAGGAATTGATTGAAAGGTTCACTTCAGAGCGCGCAGCTTTCCAAAGTCATGGGTATTTTTTCGATAACAAGGTAAGGTTTCTGTTCCTGGATCATCCAGGTTCTCTTGAAATCATGTAAATCCCCGAGCCAATGGCTTCATTTTTTGTTGAGTAAATCGTTGTGGCCTTGATGCTCAGCTTCTGCATATATCGGAAGTTGAAGTTCAAGAGACAAAGATGATGGGAAATTCCCCAATAATCATCGTCAGGGTAAGGATCTTCTATTTTCTTCCGAGGTCATCCTTTAGCTTAATGAGATATTGGATCTGATGGATTTATCTATCTTTGATGTCAGTTCCAAACACAACAAATCCACTGCATTCGCGACAAGGATGGCAACATCAGAGACGGAGGCGAGGTAAAATGAAACTGTGAACCAAAATTCAGAGCCAAAAACAAGTTATAAAGTTCATCTAATAACTTGTTGTTTGTGTTGTATGTTGGATCTAGGACACGATACATACGGTGTACTACGATTGGGCAATGCAACAAGTGGATGCATCAGAGTTAGGAGAAGAAGCTATTTATCCCATTTGGAGGTTGAGAGATATGCAGAAAATTGGTGTTCAAGCTCTCATTTAAATCTTTATATCTTTTAAGCTAAGCCTAAGC